CAGGATGGTTGTGGGCTGATGTGATTGTGGAGCCCTGGTTGTACAACAGTGTAACTGTGCTAAAGAAGCCCACACAAGGCACATCTGAGCACTTTAAACTTTTCTTGTCCTCAGACAGCCACTGCTTTGAATTCTGCTGATGCCTGGTATTTTTGTGGTGCTTCTCGATGCATTCACACCTATTTAAGCTCTCTGGTTGTCACCCCTGGCAAGGTTTGTAAAGCCAAACAAAAAACTCAAACCCGGCTCACGTCCTCCAAAAACTGATTCCCAGTTCAGAAAACAAGTTCTACACTAAGTTGCCATCGTGCTGAGGTGCACTGACGTAACAGGAGCCAGGTTTGATTTTGGGGTTTCTGTGGAGGACAGGAGGAGAGGATCTGCGTTAGCTGCTGTCAGTGAAGTGTCCGGTGTGTGTCAGACTCCTCAGTGAAGCTGGAGGTGTCAGCACTGGGCTGGGAATGAGGAAGGAGCTGGTGACTGAAGCTGTGTCTCAGGAGCTGGGAAAGGAAGCAGGGACATGGACAGAAACCCAAGTGATGCACGGAAAGAAAAGCAGTGCCCTCTCTCCTGAAAGGGCCTTTTATCATGGAAACAAAACTTGATTCTTTCTGCTGAAGGAGTGTAGTATTTTGCTTAAAACTAGGTTTTGTAGTTACTTTGTTAATTATTTGTGCAGATAAGGACCTACTTGTTGCTCTTTTTTAGCTTTCTCTCTTGAGTAAATTTATATTTATGTATATGCAAACTTTTAAACTGTCCACTAAAATATTTTGAAAACTGTTACAGCACCAATTTCTTTTGTGCTGCAGGTTTCTATAGCAGGCAGGGAACATCAGGAGAAAGCAAAACAACATCTCTCCTTGCCTGGGGTAAACACTTGACAGCAGTCATAATATTGTGTAAATGCCAATTCCTTATATATTTCCTGTCATCCTCAGCACAGAGGTAGATTGTTCTGTTTTGGAGTAAAATGAGGAAGCAAGGAGCATTCCTGCACAGGCATCTGTGAGGTGGACATGTCTCCTGCAGTGACAGCACTGCTGTGTGTTGGCCCAGCCTGTGTCGAGATGAACACCAGGCACTGAGTGGGAGGAGATCGCTGAGGCTGATGCTATTGGGTGTTTTAGAGCAAGATAAGTTAATATATGTTCTCAGTTTTGAATGGATTGGGTTTTTCTAGCACTTAGGGACTATAAAGGCATGTTATACTACTGTAGTTTAAAGGTGGTAAGTACAGATGAAAAGGGATGGTTTACATTCTAGATTATTGTAGAGAAATACAGGTAAGTGATAGTTTTACCTATTGTCAGGTAAAAGCTATAGGACTGTAATATTGGGGTTCAGTGCAAACTTCCTGCCAAATGCCTGGAGGGAGTATGAGAATGAACCTCTGTGATCCTGCCACTTTCAGAGCCTTCTTTTTTTAGTCAGTGTTTGTTTGGGTAAAACTGTGTTACATCCCTGCCCCCTCACTTCCCAGGACATTCAAATTGTTGGATAAGGAATAGCCATTGAAGAACCTGTATAAAACTGGAAGTGAAAAAGATGCAGAGTTTTGCTCTGACAGAAACAGAAAAGAAGGCCAGACAAAAACAGTAAAAAATGGTACAGTTACTGTGTGATGGCACTTTGGGGACAGACACTTGGAAGGATGTGTGTGAGGTCCAGGACAGGACTTGTACAGGAACAAGTGGACACAGAATATGTACACCTGAGTTTGTAGAAGGAAAGCCTTGGCTGGATGCTTCCATGGTAGAATGTGCTTCCAGAGTGCCTGGCAGGCTGCTTTTAATGTGGGCTTGTGTGTGTGTGTGTGTGTGTGTGTGTGTGTGTGTGTGTGTGTGTGTGTTAGGGCACAGTTTCTGATTCCAGGACTGGGCCCAGGTCACAAGGTGCCTTTTTACTCCTGGGTGTCTGTGGATGTTGCAACTCAGGTCTGGTTTTATCCTGTATATAAGTAACTTAAAATTCCTTGTCACTGATCTCAAACTATGCATAACCACCTAACTTGTGTGATGCTTTGGAAGGAAACAAAGGAGTGTGGCAGCAGGGGAGAGGGGGGATTCTGTCCCTCTGCTCCACTCTGGTGAGACCCCATCTGCAGAGCTGTCTCCAGCCTTGGAGACACCAGCACAAGAGAGACATGGACCTGCTGGGAGTGAGACCAGGGGAGGCCACAGAGATGCTGCCAGGGCTGGAGCCCCTCTGTCCCTCTGCTCTGGAGCCAGCCTGGCACAGCTGGGCCTGCTCACCTGGACAAGAGAAGGCTCCAGGGACACCTCAGAGCCCCTTTTGGGGCCTGAAGGGGCTCCAGGAGAGCTGCAGAGGGACTGGGGACAAGGCCTGCAGGGACAGGACACAGGGAATGGCTCCCACTGCCACAGGGCAGGGCTGGATGGGAGATTGGGAATCAGGAATTGTTCCCTGTGAAGGTGGGCAGGCCCTGGCACAGGGTGCCCAGAGCAGCTGGGGCTGCCCCTGGATCCCTGGCAGTGCCCAAGGCCAGGCTGGGCAGGGCTGGGAGCAGCCTGGGACGGTGGGAGGTGTCCCTGCCTGTGACACAGGGTGGAATGAAATGGTCTCTAAGGTCCTTTCAAACCCAGACCATGCCATGATCTACAATTCTATGCCTGCTGTGTTCTCTGGGAACTTGTTGCAAGGGAAGGACTCTCAGTGTACTGAAGACAACATAATAGATTTATGAGTGGAATCATTCTCTTCTTCACCTGTCAGGAAAACAGTCCCCCAGTCCTCCCCAGTGCAGCATCCATGCAGGCAGTGAGAGTCCTCCAGGGCTCACTGTGGGTCACACTTACAGGGATTAGTCTTGTTTGGGGTATGTTTCCCTGGTCCTAAAGGGCCCATTTCCATATTTTTTATTAGGACCTGGTTCTGTTCAGTAGTTTGCTGGAATATTCATGTTTATGTGACTTTTGAGGCAGACTGAAAATATCCATAAAGCAGTTGTTGCTCTGAGCCTTCAGAGCAGGGCTGGACCTGTGAGAGATGTTGGATCCTTCCCATCCTTGGAAAAGTCACTGCCAGCTCTCCACCTGGTATCTTTTCCCTCTTAAGCTTACTTTTGTTTTCTTAGTCTGGAGAAATAAGGTGGGGTGCAGGTGCACAACATTTTTCTAATTGTTCAATTACTCATTTTGTGGATCAGAGGTAAATAATCTCAGCAGGTAAATGGGTGGGAACCAACTGTGTTTGATGTCAATGACTGACCACAATAAAACAAAAGGAATGTTATAAAGGAATCACAACAATCACGCTGTGGGTACATGTTAGACACATTGATCAGAATTTTGCAGCTGTTGTCTGTAGGTCGCCAGAGGATGGAGTTAAATCCTGCTTGGCTGGCACAGAGCAGTTTGCTGTTAGTTGTGTTCTGTGTCTGGTGTCACAGAGGCTGATTTGGAGCTGCTTTAGCACCAGGTCTCTAAGGGAACAGGATGTTGTTTCTGTGGGAGGCTTGAACACAGGGGATCTGGCTTCTCTGAGAGTTTTAGCAGAAGGCAGAAATTACCTGGGAGTGTTTATACAAAGGGTTATTAGACAGCAGGCTCTGGCATTGTGTGGGTTCAGCTGAGTTACTGCTGGATTGGCTTTCACAAGGAAGCAGCCAAAGGCAGAGGCTGTGCCAGGAGCTGTGCAGCTCTGCAGCCAGTCTGTTGGCATGAAAACACTGAGGGTTATTTGGGCCTTCCTTCCATTCCCTTGTGGATTTTACACTTGCAATCTCGATGTCTCAGCAGACTGAGCATCCTTTTTTCTGTATCTGAAGTTAATCTGCAGTTCTCTTGCAGCCATTTTCTTCATTTCCTCTGACATTTGTGCCATGATATCATCACTGGACACCCGTGTCTGTATTTGGTGTTCTGGAATGTCAGAAAAGCATAAGGAAACTTCCTTGTCAGCTAAGACCATTGCAGAGCCAAGCAGTGTGATTAAAAAGGGCTATTTCACCACAGAATCCTTTACCATAACAATTAGCTTTGTCTTCTAGTGTCCTCAAGCCTCACAATAGAACTTAATAACTTAAAAGCAGCATATTGTTAGAGGAAAATAGCACATTTTCCTATGCATGCTTGCAGTTTTCTTTAGAAAATCCCACAGATCTGACAGAGACAAGGAGAAGCTGGCTAAAAGAGGTGTGTCTTGGGTTGAATTGCAGCTTTTTTATTGTTCTGAGACAGTCTTGAAAGTATTTTAGTTATTTTTAGACCTACACTGATAAGAACCTGTAATTCTTGGGAAATTGCAACCCAAAATTATCTTAGTATGTAATGTTATAATTGATAGTAGCAGTTGTGGAGATTGGAGGTAAAAGCAAAACATGTAAGTATCCAAATAAATATCCTTTTCCTTAAATATTTTAAGGATTTTTATTATTAATATCAAATTATTCCTTTAAGAGTAAACTTAATTAAGGTAACAATACATGGATTGTCTGCTTTAAACAGAATTTTTCACTCTTCTCTATGATGCTGTGTTTGGGAAACTGGCTGCTTGTTAGCTGTATTAATGGAGGATTGGAAACTTCTTTTTCCTTCTTGTCCCTGGGGTGGAGGTTGGAATAGCCAAAGAAATCATGAGGGTCTCATTTCACATCTGACAGTTCATCCATTGACATTTTCTCCCTTTCTGCTCTCTATCCACAAGACTTTGTACTGATGGACTCGATTGAGTCACTGCCTTTGTTCCACACCCATGAAGTTTGCAGAGTTGGTGTTTTAGCCCTAAATTCCTTCCTGTTAAGGGGTGCTCTGTCCAGTGCCTGCTGTCTGTGAAGGCAGAGAGATGTCCAGAGTAGAAATAAAAGACCTGAATTACTCATGATGTGTGCCAGCCTTGGGAAACCTCCTTGGCTCACTGAAATATTTGCTGTGTGGATTGTGTATGTTAAATTCACTTCTTGTTTGCATTTCCTTTCAATTTAGTAGTGATAACATAATTTTGTTAGGATTAATTTTAAAAAATGTTCTTCCCTTTAGGACACAGCTTAGGCTACGGCTTCGTGAACTACGTAACTGCAAAAGATGCTGAAAGAGCAATAAACACACTGAATGGCCTCAGACTTCAGTCCAAAACCATCAAGGTGGGAGCTCTTCAGTTGTCTGTGAAAACAGCCTTGTAATAAACTTTATTCTGATGGTAAAGTTTGTGTGCTCCCAGCTGCAGCAAGCATGAATCTGGGAGGAGAATAGTGAAGTGTTTTGAAACAGCTTAGTATTTGAGGGTTTCCTTTCTTTATTTTCCCACCATTTTTGCAGTAGTAGAGATACCATTATAGATGGTTGCTAGGTGTTTAACTCATGCACATCTTGGATGCTTCATAATATTTATTGTAAATCTTGTTAGTACATGTGCAAACAACAACCTGTGCTCTGTGGAGGACTCGCTCCTGCTTAGGTGATTTATGCAGCTTTCTCCAGTAGTAGAAGTTAGGACAGAAAACTGCACCCTACTCATGCCATATTTTCATGAAGTTTAGGGAATATACTGACAGTTCCTGATGGGAGCTGTGGCAGGGCCAGTGGCTGAGTCAGAACTCAGGATTCTTGGTGTGGCAGAAGTGTTTGCTGGGAGCATTGGTACTGGTCTGTTGCTGTCTCCTTACAGCAATGCTAATATAGTTGTTGTCTCTTGGGTTAGCCCAAAATGAGTGGCATTATGTAGGGACATGCCCTTTTTCCTTTTGTTTGAATTGATTTTCCCCTACTCTCTCAGTTCCATTCTTTTGAGCTCCAGTAAAAATGCATGTGTTGGTGTGAAAAATGCATGTATTTCATGAGTGGCTTTTTGCAAATATTAAAATGAATATTATATGTGTTGTGTTAGAAAGCAATGCTGTATTAATTTTCTTAACTACTGTGTTAAATATAGTTTTAGGTTATAAAAATGGTTAAAATAGAAACTATGGTATGTAAGATGCTTTGTTTAAAAGAAAGGACTTGCAGTGAGATAGCAGCCACAGGACACCTGAATCTTTCAGAGAAAAGGAATTTATTGCTCTCTTATCGGAAGAAACAAACTTCTTCCCGTCCTAAGGCGCTATTAGGATTAGAGGGAAGAAGTTGACACTGCCCAGACAGAATCCTGTGTTTGAATAGAATTTATGCATCATGTATGAAGTGTATGAATATGCAACAGGCTGTTGTTCTTAAGGGTTAATCCTTTGTTAATGTGGATCCTTTTTCGGGCTCGTGATGCCCAGAAAAAGGTACCTGGACATCCGTAACTCTTTGTATTTATTGTCTCATATTGTCCTAATTCAATTTGTCCAAATTGTTATTACTCTAATTGTGTTACTATTATTTTTAACCATTTTATTACTATTAAACTTTTAAAAATTTTAAAAACAAGTGATTGGCGTTTTTCACAGTTGGTAATGGGGAAGTTAATTAAATTGGCTCATGACAATAAATTGATCTTCCCTGTTAACAGCCTGAACATGTGTTTTTATTTCTTTCCAAGGTTTCCTATGCCCGCCCAAGCTCTGAAGTTATCAAGGATGCTAATCTGTACATCAGTGGCCTGCCCCGCTCCATGACACAGAAGGATGTAGAAGATATGTTCTCCCGTTTTGGGCGCATCATCAACTCACGCGTGCTCGTGGATCAAACCACAGGTGAGCTCTGGGGCCTTGGCTGTGGGAAACTGGAGTGTGCAGCATGTGTTTGGTGTTTTCTGAGACTGGCAGTACCTAAACTTCAGTAAATTAGACTTCCACAAGTTATCATGACATCTGCTGTCAACTGGTGATAGAATTTTGACAGGATATCCATGTTCAGTGATTTTTTTTTTTAAACACAGAATGACTCAACACTGCCTTTTCCAGCTTACAGCCCAAACCTCAGACCTTGTTAAAATAGGATTATTGTAATTTTTATCAGCTACTGATTTGCCAAATTACTTTCTTGCTCTGATGCTGGCACTGCAATGCACTGTGTTTCTGGGCCATGTGTGTAACCTGGAGTGCTGACCTTACTTTGACTTTACACACGTGCAGCTCTTATCCACTGGTCAATTCCAGGCCATAGTTAGAGATTTAAAGCAAAACAAAAATGTGTTTTGTCTTTTGTACCAGCCTGGAACTCACCCAATTTTCTTATATTTTAAACCATGTGAGATGTCTTACAGACTTCTGTGGTTACTGCTAAGCAAGGGAATGAATTCCCTACACTTAGTACTGCTCTGAAAATTCTAAATGTATTTTGTGTATTAAAAAAAGAAAAAGAAAAGAAAGGAAAAAAAAAAAGAAAGGGGAGAAGCCACTTACTTAGGGACTTGGCTCAGGGGAGACCAAAGTTAAGGTTTTCGTTGTGATGGCAGTTCTGACTCTGTTACAGTGTGTTTTCAGAGTTTTAAGTTCTTACCCTATTATTTCAGACAGTATAACTGTCTGGCTTATCCTGTCACCCAGCTGTTCTGTGGTTTTACTGGTAGCCCATATGTCATGTATTAATCTGGAGAGAGCTTTTACAAATACACTTTTTTATTGATTATGCATCTGGTGTATTGGAAGAGAGGACAGTCCAATTCTAGCAATTCCACATTTAACATTTATAACTGGGATGTGCATTTATACACTTCAGTTCAGGAGCAGCTTTCCTGCTCTGTGAGGAATCTGCTGTAGTTTGGAGTGGGCCATCAGCAGCTCCTGGTGGGCTCAGTCTGAGTGCAGGCTGAGATCTGCAGGGCTGTGTCCCCATCAGAGCCACCTCCTGTGTCCCCATCAGAGCCAGGCACCACTTGCAGGTGTTTGGTCAGATGGTGCTGCAAATGTGACTGTGCATCAGAGAAACCTGAGGTGGCTTGGTGAGATCAGGGGACTGACATGACATGGAAGGAAAATCCCATCCTGCCTGGAGAATATTATTTGTTTTGCCCAACTCTGATACCTGCATGGCCCTGTCCCTAGAGCTGGTTATCGAGGATGCAGCTGTAGTGAGAAGCAAGAAAAAGACTTGGGGAGCACAGCAAACTTAGTAATGCAAGTCTCAAAACTAGTCATCCCTCTCTGGCAATCTGTGGGGTCTGGAGAGCATCTGGATTTGACAGAGCTGTAAAATGAGATTACAGAAGTTATACAAATAAAATCTCCCCAGGAATGATATAGTTTTCATGGGTGTGCTGAGGCCTAATGCTGTGTAATTCAGCTCAGAACAGACCAGCTGCTTTCCCTAATAATGCATTGGCTGAGGAGTGGGTTCTGTTGCATCTCACAGTTAATTCATGCAGAGCCTGGCTTGCCATCCCACCAGGAATGTGGCTATGCCTTGGCTTTAAGCCTGCCTCTCATATCTTGATCTGCTCCCGCTTCAGACAGGTTTTAATTTGTACTTAGCTGTACCTTCTCACAGAGATGGTACTCCAGCTCTTGAAAATTATTCTGTTTGAAAATACACTTTCTAAAATATTTACGTTTTAAACGAATGCTTTGGGAAGCACTAGGATGAGCAGCGTGAAAGTGGAAGAGTCACAGTAACTGAGCTCTAAGATAGCCTTGCTGAGTTCTGAGTGATGCTGCTGCCCTGGGCCTTCCCCTGGCATGGGGCTGATCTCAGTGTACCTGAGCACACAGGGCTGGCAGCTGTACTCTGTGAGCCCATGTGTTGTTATTTATCAAAAGGCAATCACACCTTGTTTGCATCAGACCCAGGTCTTGACACGTTGCATTTCCTTCTGTGAAACAGAGAAAATGATCCTCAACTGTTACCAACAACAGTTTATGATTTTGTGGTTTATCATAAGGTTAACTTCTGTATCTGGCTTTGAAGATGTTCCTGGGTGGATGTGAAGAAAACAAAGTATCTGATATGTCCCCTTCTGAAACAGAGTTAATTTAGGCCTACATTTACAGTCCTGGCCACAATACCTCCTTTGGAATGGCATTTAAACAAAATGTGCCCATTTAGCTTCACTGTGATAAACCGTGTTTTCAGCCTACGGTCAAGTCACAGATGAGAAGCAAGGGGAGGAGAGGAGAGCTCACAAGGCAGAACTTGTACCTCAGTCAGAAGGAAACAGCATCCAGGGACTGGGATTAGGAAAAAAATACACAAATTTTTAACAGCTGTGATATTGGTTCAGTCCAGCTACCAAGAGGTAATTCTTCATTGATTTTAATGATTAAAAATAATCTATGTGCCAGCTGGAAATAGTGCATGTGAAATTCTGGTGACATTCTGATCTCTCCATTAAAAAAGGTGGAAGTCCTTTATTATAGTCAGACATTTGTTCCCTCATCTCTGAACCTGAATGTGTTTCTAGCATGGAAAAATGAAAACATATGCAAAAGTGTTTAAATTTTGTGTTTGCAGATGAGTTTGTTTTTAACCATCTGGAGTTAATTCTTTTTTTTTACTTAATTTAAAATGTTGAGGAGTTTTTTGTAAATGGAAATGTTAATTGATGATGAATATAATGGAATTCTATCACATATTTTTTAAGTGTTTAGTCATTGTGGTTGTTATAGCTGAAATGAGTATGCTAATTTGTCTTTGGTTTCTTAATTTTGTACTTTATCCTCCAGCTGCTGAAGAAATATAAATGTAGAGAACTTGAAAGCTGTGACCATAGAAATACTGAACTTTTTTGGGTTTTGTTTTCAAAGTTATTTTGAGTTTATCCTGAACTTCAATTTTTTTTCTTTGTTTGTTTGTTTGTTTTTTTATTGGTTTGGTTACAAGGTTTGTCCAGAGGGGTCGCATTTATCCGGTTTGACAAAAGGTCAGAAGCAGAAGAGGCAATTACAAATTTCAATGGTCACAAACCCCCAGGTTCCTCCGAGCCCATTACAGTGAAGTTTGCAGCCAACCCTAACCAGAACAAAAATGTGGCACTGTTGTCGCAGCTGTGTCATTCACCAGCTAGACGGTTTGGAGGGCCAGTGCATCACCAGGCACAGAGATTCAGGTAGGTTAGGAGGAATAAATGCATTTAAGGCTTGCTCCTGTTCCCGTGGCGGTGTGGGGAGCTGTGCCCCCGCAGCTGGGCAGTGATACCTTCACTGCAGCATGTGTGAATGAATACATAGTGCACTATGTGTCCTCAGCGTTATGTAAAGAAACTGTTGCATTAAAATATGATTAAAGAAAAATCTTATTTGCAAAATTTATATTGAAGTTAGTGTTTAAAGGTACCTGCACTCTGGTGGCTGTTTCCACTACTGGATTACAGTGAGGGGACAGCAGCAGCAGGTTCCAGGTGGGTGTTGGTAGGTGCCTGTCTCAACAGATCCCCGTTCTGTGGTTTATATATTTGAACACAAATAGAATTTGGCAACTTAATTAAAGCTCTGAATGGTTGGTTCCAGCAGGGAGGTGTTACAATAAGAGAGGGAAACTTTTTATTTCTGATGAGGAGGTTCTGTGGGATTCCTTCCTGCATTGCCACCTGTGCAGGATTCTGCCTTCCCTCGAAGCCTCAAGAGTTTACTGATGGGAATATTGAGCAGTTGCAGCTTCCTGTCTGCTTCCAGGGCTATGGAAGACTGTGCTTTGCCATAGAAAATTGCTTTAGTTACTTTGAATATGAATTGCTTGAATTGGAAGTGCCTTGGGTGTTCATGGAGGAAGCTGATGGTTGGAGGGTGGTCTGGAAAATGCAATGTATTGACTGTCTTGCAGAGAAGCAACAGGCTTTGAGATGATATGTATTTCTGAGAGTAGTGCTTCCCTGTTGAGAATTTACTGCTTTTTTTTTGTTTTTTGTTCTACTGTAAGGGATCCAATCAGCTCAGTAAAATTGGACTAAAATCTCAGCCACCTTTTAGCTGTGCTGCTGTTCCAGTGTTGCTGTCTCCTGTCCACAGTGCTGTAGCTCAGCAATTTGAGCACAGCTCTCTGTAATGGCTCTCCAGAGAAAATTCGTACTTTGTAGTCAGTTGTGGTTTTATCCTGAGAGTGGTTGAACACTTTGCTCAAGGAGACAGTGAATTTTCTCTCCTTGGAGATGCTGAAACCTGGCTAGAATTGATACCAAAAGGGTTCATCTGATTTCTACTGTGCCTGTGTAGTTTTAGCAGGAAACAGAGTATGTGGGGATCTGCTTTCTCAGCAAGGATGGTAGGAAGATAAGGGGAAGACATCTGGCTTAGGGATGCAGCCACAGCCAAAACAAGGACTGAACCTGGGAAATGGGGGAGAGCTTTATGGCAATGAGCAAAACATGCACATTGTGACTGTATATAAGCAACACACTTGTAGAAGATCACGTGCACACAAGGTGGAGTTATCCCCTGTGCAGCCAGGCCTGTAATGAGTGATGCATGCCCTTCTGAACACTACATTGGCGTTAAGGAGTTTTATTTGACTGATTTCTGGTAAGTTTTGGTCACAGGATGAGCCCGAGCAACCTGCCCCAGGTGCCTTGCTTCGAGCAGGGGGTTTCTTAGAGGATTTAAATAAAGGATAAAGGTTCCTGCCAGCCTCAGTTGTTCCCCAGTTCTCTTCAGCTGCAGCCCAGGGAAGTCAGCTGAGGCAGCTCCTTGTTTCCCTGAAGCAGTCACCCAGATCTGCACACCAAACCTCCTGAGCCACACCAAGGAATGAAATTCTGCGTTGTTTGCATTTAGGTGAATTATTAAAAAATCAACACATCTGCCCTTTGTCTCAGCCAGGGCTTCAGTGTGTCCAGTTCCTACTCAAATCTTTTTCATTCTTAACATTCTTAATTTACTTGGACATTTTCATCATCGTTCTTCCCCCTAAAATCAAAACACCAGGATTGAAATGCATCAGAATAAGGAGTGCAAATAATATTCACATCTATAATTAAGAGACCAAATACTTTTAATTCAATCCTGTAATGATCACTCAGAAACAATAAAAACTATTAATGTGTTTATATTAAGAGCTGCTAGTGAAACTAAATTTTAATAACCAGTTTGTTCATTATTCTCTTAATTTACCATTTAGAGCAGCATTAATGTCAGTTGTGTGCATTTCAAAGAATCACAGACTGGTTTGGGTTGGAAGGGACCTTAAAGCTCATCTCATCCCACTCCTGCCATGGGCAGGGACATCTTCCACTATCCCAGGGTGTTCCAAGCCCTGTGCAACCTGGCTGGAACACTCTCAGGGATGGGGCAGACACACAGAGTATTTCTCTAGGCTTGGGGTGTCACAGTGGGGGTTAAGAGGAAGAAAATGTTGTGTCTGTGTTCCATTCCTGCTGCCCTGGGAGCTGTGTCCTGTGCCCAGTGCCTGTTTGTCAGCACGCCTTGGCTGGCTGCTGCTCCCAGTGCAGACCTGCTGGTGGGGAAAGAGCTGAAGATTTTGGGGTCCCAGAGCCTGGCAGAGGTGGGAGTAGAGGTGAGGTACAGCTGTGCTTTCAGGAAGATGTTGTGGACACAAGAGCCCCCAGCTGACCTGCAGACACAAGCTCTTTATCTCTGCCGTGTCACAGATTGTGAGAGCTGCAGCACTTGCTGCACAGCTTCCTTCCCTCAGTCACTCGTGCAGGCACCTCTGTACACATGTGCACAATGCTCACACCATGGGGTCATGGAATTACTGAGGTTGGAAAAGACCTTCAACATCATCAGGTCTGTCCCACAACCCTTTGTATTTTTCTTTATTGTTAGCTGCAAGTTCTCCTAGTGAGTCTGTCTTCCTTGAAGGATGCTGAACTGAAGGAGTTGTGATTACTCATGCTGTGGTTAAGCTCAGGAACCTGAGTTTGGGCTGAGTCTTGTTTGTTTTGGTAGTGAACAAGACAGGATGAATGGATAAGCAGCTTCCAGAGAGCCCACAGTCTGTATAAATTAAAGTTGTGATCTCTGCTCCACAGAGGTTGAATACGTAACCTGATATTTTGATTACATTTCAACTCATTTCATCATAATCCGTGTAAATCCAGGATTAAACCTTTAGTATCTAATTTGTAATTATTAATTTCCTACAGATATTTCTCCAACCCTTTGCTTAATGTTCTTTTAATCCTTTTGAGTTCCTGTGGTGTTTGTGGCTCACATCAGGAGCTGGTCTTAATGCTGTGTCCCACTGGATTCTGGACTAATTCAAAGACCCAGGCTCTCTGCTTCCATCCAGAGGGAATGATGCCACAGCATGAGCTTGTCTGGAGAACAGATAACACATCTGGGGTGGGCGTTTCCTTAGAGTGTAAGATTTGTTTACTTAAAGAAAATAGCAGATCTCCAGGTGCTGAACTGTGATGAAATGGAGGGGTTTAGCTCCTGTAGCATGAGGAGGCTGCTCAGGGCCCCTGGAAGTGCTGTGCTTTTGCAGCTCACCAGAGCTTTGTATTAGAACAACAAACCTCAGTTATTGCCAGTTCAGCTGATAGTGCTTTCAGACTTGTTCAGGGTTGGAGCCAGTTCCCAGTTCCTGTAATGGGCATAACTCTGCCAGTATCAGCCCATGAGTTCTGCCCTGAATCTGCCCTGAATGCCTGAAGGGGAGCCATTTCTGATAGTTCTTAGATTCACAGGGAAATGGAAGAGGACTGTTTAACCCTGCCAGTGATATGATTGCTCAGACCGCTCCTCTACACCTGCTTGGTATCATTCCAGTGAAATTGTTTAAATTTTCACTTTTAAAGCAATGTATAATTTGGATGCAAGCTGTGTGTACTGAGTACAAACCATTTCATCCAGAGTAGCATTTCACCAAAGTTCTGGAAGAATATGGGATTGAAATCCCAGTTGTTTCTATTCTTCCTTACATGGTTGTTTGACCCAACACCCTGATTTTTTTCAGGCTTAGAGCTTGTGTCCCTGAGTTCTCAACAAGATTTGTGTTGGCCACAGCAGATCTTTTCTGTCTGTAACAAACACAGTAGAACAAGTTACTTGTCAGAAGGACATTGTCAGTGTAGCTGAGCTCCTGCTCTTTGTGGAACAATTAAAATATAAAAAGCTGCCAAGCTCAAGTGCAGTGGCAACACAAACTGGGATTAAAACTAATGTTCCTGCTTATTGGCATCCCACCTGTGCTGCTGTATGGAACTGTCCTCAGAGTGCAGGCAAAAGAGTTCAGCAAAACCAGCACAAAGCTATGATAGGGGAGGTTTAGGTTGGATATTAGGGAAAAGTTCTTTCCCCCTAGGGTGCTGGGCACTGCCCAGGCTGCCCAGGGAATGGTGCCAAGGCTGCCAGAGCTCCAGGAGCTCCCAGGGGTGCTCAGGGTGGGGTTGTTGGGGTGGCTCTGCAGGGACAGGGGCTGCACTGATGATCCCTGAGGGTCCCTCCCAGCTCAGGAGTTTCTGTGGTTCTATGAAAAGAATTTATAGGACTTGCATAGACCTAAAAAGAAACTGCTTTCATTTAGGAGTGTCATTTCTGAGATTACATCCTCCAGTGAGTTCATCTAATCTCAGGATCTGTTAAACAAAGCAGGCTGTCTGTCTAATGACAGAGGGAGCAAAAGGTCATTGATAGAAACAAGAAGCTTATAAAGTAAAAGAGTTACGATGGAAAATGCACTCTTGTTGATACCTAATGCCCCAAGATGTGGCTTGTTGGGTTAGCATGGCTGGAAAGAACCATCCACAAATAACACTGGCTACAGACTCTTTGGGAGGGTTGAAAAAGCAGTGTGGAGGAGACAGTATAAAAATAATTTCAACAGAAATGAGAACACCAGCTATAAGTGTGCTAATACGGAGATTGTTCAAATTACAGTATTAAAGGAATTGTAAAACCACTTTCTCTGAAACATCCTGGATCTCTGTTGGTCTTCGTGTTTGCCATAGTAGGGCATTCTTTAAACATCCTTAATAAGTGTAACTTCCTAAAGGTCATCTTCAATTGGCATGGCCACAAAAATCTGTCCTGGTGGGACAGAGCTGTGTGTCAGCTGCTCCAGCCCTGCTCATGCACACTGTTACCCTGGGCTGAGTGAGAGATCTGGGGTCCCTCTTGTGCAGAGTGAGAACAGACATTCATCACATTAGCTGAATAGTATTTCCTACAAGTTGGTTGGTTTTTTTAAAATTACTTTTCTGATTTTTCAGGGGACTTCTTTGGTTTTACCCTGTTTTGTTTGGTTTGGCTATTTTAATAAACCTGTAACATTTTTGTGAAACAAAGCAGGAAGAGAGGACAATCTGTTTGAAGATAAGTGTATCCAAAAGCAGAGGTACTTGGTATTTTAAATTATTTTGTCTGTAACAAGCATTTAGATTTGTTTTCTTGCATTTAACACCATTGCTCTTGTACAACTGATTGCATGGGATATGCAGTATCATGATTTGGTGTTACCTGGGCTCCTGGGCAAAGCAGGCAGGGGCAGAGCTAATAGTGACTGCTGGAACCAACGTCAGGCAATTCTGAGCTCAGTGGTTTGAGAAGGGATTCAGGACTGGTGATCTGTTGAGATGGAAACTTGACAGATATTAAGATAAATTCATCCTACCAGATTATTACTCACTTGGAAAGAAGCTACACACAACTGAAGGTGTCTGTCAGAACAAGTAAGTGTATCAAGCATGCAAGCACAGGAACGTTTTTATACAAAGCCAAAAGAAATACCAGATGTGTCACCTCTTCATCAGATCGTAGGGGTTGGTATGTCTCATTCACCTTGTGGTACTTCTAACTGCTTTTTCAGTTTGGCTGTAGTACAAGGCTTCCCAAACTTGTTTTTTCGTGGGGCTGGCTGTCAGTGAGGTGCTGCAGCTCAGCAGTGTCCCCTGTGCTCCGGGAGCCCCCAGGGCTGCAGAGCAGCAGCGAGGGAGGGATGGAGTGACACTTGCTCTGGGGACAGGAGAGTCCAGCAGCTCAGGTGTCCAAGGCAGGGAGCTCTGGGCACCAGAGAGCCTGGGGGAGATGGGCACTGAGTGGTTCTGGTGTGTGAGTGCACCGTGTGTGTGTGAGTGTGAGTGTGCACTGCCATCCCTCTGCTCCCCTCCCTCCCCGTACTCCTCGAGCCCTCCCTCCTCAAGAAAGGCAGCAGCAGCTCCTTGATGCAGGGCAAGAAAGAGTCAGAGGGGAAGCATTTGGCACTTTCTGCAGCATTCACTGCCCAGACATCCCTTCCCTGTTTCCTCCAGGTCAGCAGAGAATCAGGATCTGCCACCGCCCTGCTCTTGGCAGAGAGCAGCTCGTGTACCGCTTTTAAGGGGTTTGCAAATCACCAGTGGTACACCTCAATTTGGGAACCCCTGGTATAGTATCATTATATTTCTATGATCACATGACCTCATATTTTTAAATAATAAATAAGCACAAGGGTTCAAAGTGCGTTTTTGACATTAACTTTCACATTTCCTGGCCTTTGAGTGCTTAGCTGTGCATCTCTAATATTGCACTAAAATATTCAGAAGCTTTGATTTTCTGTAGTTTAGGCCAGAAATAGAATAAAGGGGAATTAGAAATGTGGGTTTTAGGGAAAATAAATTATTACAAAATGAGACAAAAAGGAGAAGATTTTTGCTTTTTGTTATGCATGAATCCTGCTGAGGTATTGTGAAGGAGGCAGGATTCAGGAAGAATGGGTAGGTGATTTTAAAAATCCAGTTCAATAAAGTCAGATCTGAGTTTTCCTGGAAAAATTATTAAAACCATCCATACACACTGGAATAATAAAACTGCACCGAGCCTGCTCATGTTGTGAGTGTTTGCCTGCACCTGCTGCCTTTGGGTGGAAAGGGAGTAGGTTTTGTTCTGCTTCACAAAAGAGGAAATTAATACATCCAGTCTCTACTCGTAAGAACCCAGAACACTCATCCCCTGCCCCAGCAAATCCAAAGAAACTCTTTGACTTAAAGAGTTTCCAGACATGTTCTTTTAGAGGCAAGAAAAGGAGCATGGGGTGAAAGAAAATCTCCTTCTGTGCAATAAGTGGGAGATGCCTGGGGGTGTCTGGGGCCTCTGGGAGGTGCTGCCTGTGCCCCTGAACTCAAGCAGTTCTGCAGCAATGCCCTGGACGCTTGGAGCGGCCTGGCTGAGCTCAGGCATCCATCCAGGTCCCCTGGGAAGGTGATGATGTAATCTTGCCTTGCCTGTTCCTTGCCTATTTCTAAGGATAGTTCCCTGTTGATAAAGCAGTTGGAATACTTAACTTTTTTTTTTTTTCTGGCAGCTGTCAATTTGATTGTCAATTTGAATGGGGAAACATTTATGTGGCGGTTTTGATGTGCCATGTATAAAATATTCATTCTCAGTTGCTTCCCATTCAAGTTAATTTGCTTAATTGAACATGAAATATTGTGCTTTTTATTTGCTAGGTTCTCTCCTATGGGTGTAGATCACATGAGTGGGCTTTCTGGTGTAAATGTTCCAGGAAACGCATCTTCTGGCTGGTGTATCTTCATCTACAACCTTGGTCAAGATGCTGATGAGGGAATCCTCTGGCAGATGTTTGGCCCCTTTGGTGCGGTTACCAATGTGAAAGTTATTCGAGATTTCAACACCAACAAGTGCAAAGGTTTTGGTTTTGTGACCATGACAAACTATGAAGAAGCTGCAATGGCCATAGCAAGTCTTAATGGCTACCGCCTGGGGGACAAAATCTTACAGGTTTCCTTCAAAACCAACAAGTCCCACAAATAACTTGCTCGTGCTTTTTGTATGGAATAGATAATGGAGTGACAGAAGTTGAAACATTTTTGTTAGTGTAAAACTCATTTTGCGCCAATTTTCACAAGTGTTTGTCTTAGTCTAAATGAGAAGTGAAAAGGTTTTATATTCTGGGATGCAACTGACATGTTCAAATGTTTGAAATCCCACAATGTTAGACCAATTTCAAGTTCCTTTAAGTTATTTCATTTAAAACATGTTAAAAATCCCCTGAAATCTTAAGTAGATTGCATTAACTAGACCCTCTGGATGGTGGTAAAATTGAAGCATGCTTTCACTTATGAGACTAACATTTGTTTCATTGAATGTTGTCTGCAAAAACTGGAATTTTCTGAAAAATATCAGGCTGAATTCATTGATTTTCTTTGGTTTTATGTTGTTCTTCCTACCCATCCCCCTGTCCTTTTGTTCTCCCTCAGTTTCAGTAGTATGGAAGAAAAGTTGAGAAATACTAATGTTTTAGTTGACAGTAAATTGTTTGATAAATTAATATTCATTACTCTGTGTCTAGTTGAGGATCAGGCTTTTTAAAGTCAAGGTCTTGTAAGTAGTAGCATGCCAGCCTAACTTTAACACCATTGAGGAGGTAAGTTGCACACTGAGCAGTGGCCAAGCTGTCCAATTCACAGGTTTTAGAAACGTGACTTTTAAAACCCACTTTGAGAGGAATGGACCAAAGAGTTTCAGAGAAACTCCAGGAAGATTTCAGAGTCAAAATGAAACTCCAAAAAAGCGAGTGTGAATATATGTTGCTACTTTATCAGACTGAATCTCTTCTGTCCAAATATTTAATGCATGGTGCACTACTTACTGGTACATTATAATGCAGCAAGATACTTACTCATTTTCCAAGATCATTGTAGTTGGAATTCCTTTGGCAGTTCTATTTTATAAAGAAAAACCAGTTATAAACATTTGAGCATTGTATTTCTCGCATCCCTTCTAATGAGTGCTAGTTTTTCTATTTTAATAGGATTTTGTTTTGACAACTAGCTTTACTTACTGAACACTCAGCAGAAAAGTACTTACAACTTGCAAGTTAGATATTAACCAAAAAACCCCTTTGATTTGTAGATTTAAAGATTAATCCCCCAGGTTTTCTGCAGACTGCCTTGAAACTTTGAGTTGTTCTGTTTCTGTTAATTTTCTTTTGCTTTTTTGTGTTTTTTGTTTGTTTTTACTTTTGCATTTAAGAACATTAAATTTGATTTTGTTTTGCTCAAATTTTGTTTTGTTTTTTATTTTCTGTTCTTTTTTTTGCTAAGTATTGCACAAAGTGTCCAGCTTTCAGAGTGCCATTTAAGGAACTGTAGCTCCGCTCTAAGAGAATTTTAATTTACTGCTTTGACAGCTGAGTAGAAGAAGAGAGTTTTGAAACAAGCAGCACAATAAATCTGTCACATAGAAATGAGTGTCACAGACTGATGTAACCCTCAGGTGTGCTTGGGTAGGAAACTGGGAAGGCTGACCATGCCTGTACAGGTGTGTGAGCTGCTGTGCACAGCTAGAGACTTGGCTCTGGTGTTACTGTAGGCAGGGCAGGTGTGGAAATGAGGTCTGTGGCAGTTTAATGCAGTGTCTCTTTGTTTTGCCTGAATCTCTACCAGCCCCAGAGTTCATTTCCAAACTTGAAGACCAGTCCATGCTGCCTGCTCGCCTCACTCCATCCCCAGCTGACCTTGCCTTCTGCTTGCCGCCGTTTGTCCTCTCCTTGTCCTCTCCCTGCCATGGGGTCTGCACAGCCTGAGGGCTCCCTCAGCCTCCACATGTGGCTGAGCTGGTGCCCAGCTCCAAGGAGGACCTGTGGCAGCTGCTGATGTTCCTGGACCTGCCCAGGACATGTCTAAACCCTACAGATAGGCCTTGGCCCAGCGAGCAGCCTTCCACTGAGTTTGAGCTTGTGTGCAGTGAGTGCAGGTGGGATTTTTCCTGTTAAAGCATCCAACCTTGCCTCTCCTGCCAGTCTGTTCCCTCCCCATCTCTTGAGATGCTCGGTGGAACAGCGACTGTGACACAGCAGCCAGGCCATTCCCAGCCCCCAGAGCTGCTCTTGGCTGTCAGAGGTTTCCTTCCACCAGTTCATCACCATCCATTTATCACATCTATGATTATTTCCTTTCTGCGTACAAGGAGAGCTTGGGAAGCGCTCTGGGCATCCTCCCAAGTTAAAGCTCTGTAGTAGAGAGAAGTTCTCTTACATGTCCCATCATTGTTGAACCTGCACTGTCCTGTTCCACAGGAGTGGGCTGTAGTCACTCCCAGTTACTGTCATTCTCTCTTGCTTTATTCCATTTAAGATAAATTTGCTGCTAAACTAAAATGGGAGCTGCTGTTTATCACAATATTTAGCAGGGGTTCAGACTTGCAGTGAGTGACCCCTAAATGTGACTCTGTCAGTACTGGTTCCAAGCACACTGGCCATGGCAGCAGCACATTGCTTTGCTGCCACTTTTGAAGAACCCCCTTCTCCTGAATGCTCTCTGGCATCACTGTTCCTTTCTTTTTCCACTGCTTCTCTATTTTTCCATCTCTCATTCTTTGCTAGGTAAGTGCAGGATATGGTTTTGTACTGCTACTACAACAATCTCTTTTAGGAAAGGTCTGATTCCAGCTTTCTTTGATAGTTGCTCTGATAATAATTTTCAGGCAATTGCTATCAGCAAAGCACTGCTGCTTGAGTCAGGAAAAGAGGAAAAACTCCTGCTATTATCCAGAGCTGATACCAGAAGTAGTGTATAATTTGTGCTCTTCTAACAGTCAATAAAATCTTGGTATAAATAGCTGAAGTCCAGAAAAAATTGTGTATGTATAAAGAATGCTTTTAGTCCTAAACCAAAATGCTTGTGCATCCTACTGGTAAAGACCAAAAGGAAGCTTCTGGGGTTGGAAACTAAAGTCTAATAAGACATCTACCAGGAGTTTTTCTGCCCAAAAGGTAGGAGCAACTGGTTTCCTCCTTACCCTGCTTTGAAGCTCTCACTTGAACAGACCTGTTTCAAGAGAGTTTTTGGCCTCTTAATTCTCAGAGTGCTCAGCTTTTTCATCCATCCATTTGGTGGAAGCCAGGTGTTTCTATCAGGTGATGCCTCTGTCAGTAAGCACTTACAGGATCTTAGTAGAACCAAAGGCTGTCTCAAAGCAGGGGTCTCACATTGCTCGTTGTGAGCAATTCTCATGGAGGTAGAGAGTTCTGGAAAGTCTTCATTGCTGGACTAGGATGTGCTAATCAGATTCTGGAGACCTGAATTTTTTGGTCTGTACTGTGAGATGTGCTACAGGAGCAGCTGAGATGGGGGTGTTTTGGGGTCCTTTAGAGTAGGTTAAGAGTCTCTTGGGACAGCCCCTGGTGTAGGTTCTGAAGGAGCAGGTGTAATTTCTGCTGCAAACACAGTTGTTCATGCTGGGTCTCGTGTTTAGATGCTGAGGGGAGTCACTACATTTGTTTCTCAGATGTCCACATGAATGGAATTCACCCCAGTGCAGAACGCTGGCCATGAGCCTCAGCACCTGTAAACCTCCTGTTAACCATCAGCAGATAGGGAAATCCCACAGAAATGTGGAAGAGGAATCTCTGTATGTGCTTGGTGTGAGCTGGCAAAGGCTCATGCAGATCCTTCAGGTGAGGGGATGGCAACACCAGAAATCCAGACATGAGCAGAATCAGAGCAGCTCAGTGTGTTCAGTTCTCAGTGATTCCCTGTTAGATGGTGTCTGTGCACTCAAGTGTTGGATTTATTTTATTTTATTCTATTCTTCAAGCTGCATTTTCATAAAATTTGGTTTTCTTGAGCTGCTCCACTCTCCTGTCAGAGACTGGCCAGTGCAGTTACTGTTGCCTCCTGAGCCTTCCTCTGCCAGTCCCTGCATCTGTTCTAGCTCTGGGACTGGGGAAGGCTTCAGGATCCAGCTCTTAGGTGAGGGGAGAAGTCACTTCACCACAGTGGTGTGTGTGGCCACACAGCTCTTCCTTCCATTTGCTTGGATATGTTTTTTGTACATCTGTATCATGTGAGTATGAAAACCATGGAAAATCCAGAGACAAGTCACTGGAGCAGGATAAATTGTCACCACAGTGAACACTGGTTGGTCAGTGTTTGGTCACTTGCCCTTGTCCAGATGACCAAAGGGTGTTTGCATGGAAAGGACACCTATTTTTATAGGGGGATTGAACATTGCAGTAATGTTATTTATAAAAAGCAGTTAAAAATCTTTTTTTAAAAAGTTTTTAAAAAACTTGGTATCATTTATAGAAAGAATATCCAGCAGTCAAAACCAAAATGATGAATTAACAGTAAAAGTGATCCATTCTTTTAAGGCTGAGTTTGGAAAATGAGTAGTCCTTAAGGTCCTTCAACATTTGTTACAATTCTATGTTGCTTTAATGTTCTGGGTAAGGTCAATAAAGTAGAAATTCTTCAAATATTTCAGGAGATTTTTTTTCAGTGCATTTTAAACGGCAATAACTCAAGTTCCTTTTGGATAGTTTTATCATTACATATGTACTTTAAAAAAACAAAGTTGGAGAATGTCCCCACGTTTACTTTTCTAACACAATATACAGGTCATGTGATAAACTGTTTATTTAAAGTAACTCCTCTGATAGCTCTGCCTGCAGAAGGTTAGAGTTTGTGGGAGATTTTTAACACATAGCTCTTGTGTGCTGCTGATAGCCTGGTTCAATCACATAAACATGGAGCAGTTTGTCTGGAGGCTGCCTCTGTCAGAAGGTCACCGTATTTTTTAGTTCCATATTGAAGAAATGTGTCCTTTTTAACTCTGTCAATGAAGCACCTTATTGTTCCATTTCTACGTTTAGGCTATAAATAGCTTTAGAGGGAAGGGACCAAATTCACCTTTAGCATAAAGAAACACCAACCCCTTGAGCTCTCTGAGTGGAGCTGCACTTGTGTTTTGGCTTTTTCTCATTTTGGTTCTATTTTCCAAGAGCTGAATTTGTCACCTGAGGTATTTTAATCTCTATTTGGAAGCGGGAGAGTCTTTTTGTGCCTTCGGCGAGTTCCTCTAACGTAGCTCTGCACTTCTCAAGGTTGGCTGCTCAGCACAGTAGGATGCATAAATCCAGAGCTCAAGAGGCCAGTGGCTATTTTCTCTGATTATTGTATTTATTATTACTGGGTTCCTCCTTACTAATATAAAAAATGAAACATGTGGAGTTGATAAAAAGGGTCTCAGTTCCTCCCTGTGACTCGGAAGAGGCGGTGCCTCCATGACAAGCGGTGGATTGGAAATCGCCGGTCATTCGTAGGTTGAGCAGGTACGGCACCATCTCAGTGCTTGCTGTTTGCAGTAGTCTCATGTAGTCAAACAAAACCAAACTCAAAGTGTTGCTTTCTCATCCTACGTGAGTTAAAACCAGTCCAAGTCTTTTTGATCTCTAAAGCAGAACTCGCCACCCCATGGGTGGGTTTGACATTCAACTCTGGAGATTCCTTCTAGATCACACTCGATCCAACAGCAACAAAGGTTTAGAAATATTTTTCTGTTGAGTGGAGTTTTCAGCACTGAAATTCTCTTTTGTTGCTACTGATGGGAAAACAGTAATGATAGAACTGCCACCTGAAACCTTGGAAAATTACTTCTGTGTTCACATTTTAGAATCTCAATATTCTCCTACTGTTGTTCCTTATTTCTAAACATTTTTGAGCAAGTTTTAGTGGTATGGCTGAACTTTTTCACTTGGCCATTGAGAAGAAAATGACTTGAGACATTTGAAACATAAGTTGGGATAAACCTTTATTTGATGAGTAATTTGAATAATACTGTACTTCTAGTCTTTTTATTGATTTCCTTTCCTTTAACTTATGTAATCTTTTGTTTATAAATTAATCTGTTTGTGGGACAGAAGGTTTTATCAATTGCTTTCCATACTGTACAGTATATGGTTACACATTTTGTATATTTAGTGTGTTTTTAAGTTATTGATTTGTTTTATATCAAATAATTTATTTTTCAGGTACCATTTTCATTTAAACTTTGTTTTTACATGGGTTTACTTTAAATAAAGTATGACACTGCTTTCCAAATGTCGAAAATGAAGTTGAATCCCATTGTGTTATTTTGAGATGATTTATGTAAATTAACTTATTTTAGAAATAACTGCAAAAATGTACCAAGTTCATACTTTGGTTGTGCTTCAATTCAAGTGCTTGGAAATTCTCTGCAATGATTTTTGAGCAGTTTGAAAAAAATGAGTTTTCATATTGAAACAGTTCAAAGATTTGTTGATGAAGCAGCAGTTTTGTAGAATCCTGTGGATGGAGTTATGAACATTGTTTTCTATATGGATTTTCAAAATTAAATGGAACAACTCATAGATATTTTACACTGGTGTTAAGACTTAAATGACATTATCTATGTTAATAGTGCAAAGGAGTTTTTGTACTTTTGCCACATGTTCATGGCTGGTTTTGTTGAGCACTTGTTTGGAACATACGTGGGATGCTTTTATTTGAGCCCTGTTGAAGGGTGATGTACATCAAAATAGAATTAGGCTTTTACTTAATTGTTCATATTTTGTCTTTTTTTCCCTGCAGGAATTGGATTATTATTGTGCAGTTTGGAATTTGACATGTTTTCAGAAGAATCTGAACTGTGTTCAGGAATAGGCCAATCAAGGTTCCTCCACTAAAGATTTTGTAACTTGTGGCCTTGTTAGAAAGATGGAATTAAAAGAAGGGGCTTTTAGTTTCCTTTTTATTTTTCAGGGAAAAAATTGTTGTCTTTATCTTAAATTTTCCTTTCTGATTAAACAAAACCCAAAGCCCAGCTATACTGTTACTCAGAAATGTGTGTGAAACTTCTTCAGGGAGCTCCTGGGGAGACACCTCATGTTGGCCCATTGGAGGTTTAGACCGGATGAAGGTTTTCTGTGGGTTGTGCCAGGGTTGTCACCATCCCTGAAGTGTTGCAGAGCTTGTGGCTGTGGCACAGGGGTCCTGGGCCATGGGGAGCACGGTGCTGCTGCCAGCTTGGTGCTTGGGCTTCATTGCCTTAGAGGGATTTCCAACCTGACAGCTGTGATTCCATGGGAAGGGACCATCGGTGCAGGTCAGGCTCCTTGGGTGAGGCTGGGGCAGGACAAACCCTGGGCCAGGTTCTGTAAGGGGTGTTCTCCAGAAATCCTTTTGGTTGAAGGATCACATATAACCCTGCTGACTCTGCACAGACTGGCTTCCAGTCTCAGTCCTTTCTTCACCAAAACAAACTTTTAGTTTTGGTAAGCTGAAATCTGTCCTGCTGCGTTTCAGCAGGTGCCTCCAGTCCTTTAGTCACAGAAATAAATAATCCCTCTGAGTGCTGGGCTAATTGTTGTGCCTTTGACACTTTGCCTCTGATTTTTCTCTTAAAGACTTACTGAGAAAAATGATGTAAAGTAAGAGATAGATGGTGTTTTATGTATGATGTCATGGAACGTGTGGCAGTGCTGCCTCAGCTCGGAGCTCTTCCAACTCAGGAGTTTTTAGATTTGCAGTTATTTTTTCTGTGATGGGAATTTCTCAGTTCAGCACTGTTCACCATATGGAATTATTTGTTGAGCTAAATTGGTAAAGAGCAGAATTGAGAATTTCTGTTCCTACCATTACATCAGTGGATTGTTGAATGTGCAGCATCTGGTGTATTCAGGAATGCTTCATCAGGACTTAGACCTTTCCTGGGTTTTCCTTTGCATGGAGCTGGAACACCTTCTCCATTTTTGCTCCCACCAGAGTTCATCCCATGTGGTTCACTTCGCTCATGTTCATTTTGACCACTATGGTATTTTCCATGCTTTACTTCTATGAAAAATCATGAGGAAAAAAATATATTAAATTCCAAAAAGCTTAATAACAGAAATGGCCATGTGAAGTTCTAGCCGCTCAGAAATGGCTCTTTTTTTAAAAGCAAACCAAAAAAGTTTGTGTAGACCCATTAACACCCAGACAGGGACTCTGGTTCTTGCAGAATTCCTGGCAGACTCCCTGGCTTTTGACTGTTCCCCCTCCTTGCTCTGCTCTTGTGTATCCTGCTTCCAAATTTCACCCCTTTCATTTCCAGAACAGCAAAAGAGGGAGGGAGGGAAAAAAAAGGTGTTAAACTGATATGTCCAGGAAAAATGTCTGAACCCTTTTCTCTCTATTTCCTATCCTTAAAAAAAAAAGGGGAAGACTATGGCTGTAAAAGTGTCCTGGGTCACGCTGACGGTACACTTGCTCCGGATTCTGTCCCCGCAGTGGCAGTGAGCCGCTATTTCAGGAAAGCTTGGCTGCCTTCCCCCCTCCCTTCATTCCCCTTGTGCTTCCCCAGCTCAGTGTCAGGGGGGCCCTAAATACCTCCTCTTCTTTAGAATCCTGATTTTTGAAACTGCCTTTCTTTTCCTTAAACTGTCCTCTGCCTCTT